GGATACCAGCGCACAAACAAACACAGCATTGTGCCCAGATTAAAGGAGAAAAAAAAACAAAAAAACAGAACGGACACAGGGAAGGTGCCCAAAAGGGATCCATGCTACCAACATTACCTTTTTGGCATGTTGTGCTTTGCTTTGAACTTAGAGGGCAGTGTTGATCTCACTCTAATAGACACGGTGTTGTGCTCCCCTCTTTGGCTTTCGGCATGTCAAGAATAGCTATTGCCAGCTTCAAGAGAGCTGCACCTATGACTGGCAGTCACATGCGCCCACAATCTCTACCCAGCTGTTGCCTCCGACCAAAGGTACGAAATTCGATTCCAAAAGGTGACAATGGAAAAACAAAAAAAACACCGGGAACTATGGCCGGGTTTTTCATTGAACCAGGATTGCTCCGCAGACCTTGGCAAAGGGGTGGACATTTCACGGAAGGTAAGCCAAAGGTAACCAAACCACTCTACCCTGGTCATCTGGTCGATCGGAGCACGGAAGGGCAGCTTTATGGAGCACTGGGTTCTTGAAATAGGAATCAGTTCATTTCTTGTGGCTGGTTGGTGTCCTTTTGGATTCTCTTTACAAGCGCAAGCCAAACAGGGGTGCACATTTTGAGCCCCCCCCCCCCAAAAGGGTTGCATCTCAAAGCTTGCTCCGTTCGCACGCTAAGAAGCGCGCAAAAGGTGGGCAGCTTGGGCATCATCGGGGGCCCTAGCCTCAATTCCGCTTGAAGCTCGCAAGAATTGGCTGTGGCTCAAATAGATGTACCAAAATGGCCCCCTTGGTACATGGAACCAAAGACTAAAACCTGCGTAACCCTAGCTCTTGAAGTTTGAAACCCATCGGAGTCCCTTCAATCCCATTGAAAGCCCATCCTCGCAAAGCTTCTTCTCCTAAAAATCTAGCTGTACCAAGGGAGCTTGGCTTGTCCATTGGATTCCGCCAAAATTGGGGAGACCTCAACAAAGTTGGTCGCCTTCTGTGTCGCGAAAAAAAGAATCAAAGCTGGGCACATCCAGTTTGGACGATGGTCGTATATCTTCCGTCTGCCTTAGGTCATTTTCGAATTGGCACCTGAAGCAGCTGAACAAAAAGCGCCTAAATTATTGGTATTGGTGTCGCGCATTTCGCAACTTACACAGCCGCAAAAAGGCGATGGCAAACAAACATGCCTAGAAGGGGGCGGATCACTCTTGGGTGGGGACTCAACCGATTTTCAGACAGACTTCCTTCTCTTTGCTAAACTTCTATGCGGGGTCGGAATAGATTTCCCTTGGAAACTTAAGCTTGAGACACACCCGCCTCAGCTTCGGCGCCTGCTCACAACCAACAAGTTTGTTTGATGCTGGTCCATATTTGGCGAGCCTTGAAATATCAGTTATACAATATATAAATTCAACAGAGACCCCAGCTGGAAGTGACAGGGCGCTCAGAAATTCCCCTTCAAAGGTTGCAATTCACTGGTGAAGTCCATTGAAGCTACCACTCTGCGGAGGTTTCAAAAAGGGGAATGGGGGAAAATCTGAGTGAACCCAGCCGCTTTTGGACCTGATCCTGGAATCCAACCCATTGGGCGGGGCCCCGGCCCGGCGCCTGGCAAGGCTGGCTGGATGGATGGCCGGGCGTACCGGAGATGCAAACGTGGGGTAGGATTCCTGAAATGGTGTGTGCACTTTTCTAAGGCGAAGCTTGTTTTGATTGGTTGTAAAGGGAAAATACAAGGAACACCACAATGTTTGGGTAAACTACCCCTAGTTTAAGACAAACCCACGTGTTGCGAGTCAGCCGACCGCATGCTAGCACAAGACTTTGATCACTGCGGGGGCTCCCTGGTTTCCCTTGCAATATTTTAAGGGTTGTCTTTGAGTGTCTGGTTTGAAGATCAACTACGTAAAAGGAAGCTCACCTTTTGGGGGGACCATGTCTCAGGAGCGCATGATATGTTGCCATGGCAAATGGGGATGCAGCAAACTAGGGTGACCCCAAGAAAATTAAAGGACTGAACAACCTCACATGGGTGGCTCGTCTGCTTTTAGGGCACCCGAAACAAAAACAAGGCTTGCCTTCTGGTTTCTCGTGAAAAACCAACCCGAAAGAGAACTCCAAGAAAGAGTAGCATTGGTAGCAAGTTTCATTAAGAGCTTATGCAAGGCGGGATGAACAAGTCAGTGAGTGCTACTGCTCTGGTGAGTTACGGCGAGAGTGATTGTGAGTCTGAGTTACCGGGATTCAATGAATGATTGAGCGTGAGTGAGTCTTTATAAGCAACTTTGAGCGAATGAATGCAAGCGTCTGAGCGAATGAATGCAAGCGTCTGAGTGAGTGAGTGAGTGAGTGAGTGAGTGAGTGAGTGAGTGAGTGAGTGAGTGAGTGAGTGAGTGAGTGAGTGAGTGAGTGAGTGAGTGAGTGAGTGAGTGAGTGAGTGAGTGTGAGTGAGTGAGAGTGAGTGAGTGAGTGAGAGAGTGAGTGAGTGAGTGAGTGAGTGAGTGAGTGAGTGAGTGAGTGAGAGTGAGTGAGAGTGAGAGCAAGGGTGCATGGAGTGAGTGAGTGAATGAGGAGGCGGGTGGCGAAAACGACAAAGTAAAAGTAAGAACACAACACAAAGACGTGGGGAACTAGATGGTCTTTTGTTTTCACTTGAAAGCCAACCTGAACAGGCTACCGAGCCTCAAAAACACACCACCTGAAAAGCAGACCTGAATCATGGTGGCCAACAAAGGTCGTACTCCAAGGTCTGCATCATCCGTGGGGGTTTGGTAGTGTGGAGGTTGTATACAACTGATACCAGGGGCATATATTGCCCTGCCCGTATAACCTTCACACCTGCAAACAGCCCCTCTGAAAATGCCAACCTGAGCGGGCAAATGCCTTGACAACTCTCTGCCGCCTTTTTCCCCCGCGGCTCGGCCCTTTGACCTGTATGGCTCAGCGCCTAAAAGCAAGAGGCCAGCAGACCGAGGGATTTGCGAACCTGAAATACAGCACCTCTTTGACGGAAGGCCCCTCAAATGAAGGCTGGTGTGTTCCATCCTGCTCTTTTTGTGTGTGCGATTTCAGCTACATGTTTAAAGATTGTTCTTTTCGATATTTCCTTCTGGTCGCAAATAATAGTACCAATCCCGAACAAATTCCATCGTATTTGCTGCTTCCTTTGAAAACAAGAAAAAACAAATTCTTAGCTAGTGCCAATCTGCGATGAGATCCATTAGCCCCCCGCCTCTTTTTACCAGGCAAAATACAAAAACACACAAGAAAGGGGGCGGGGGTTAAGTGGACCCTCATTGAGTCTGCACCAACTATCACCAATTCAGCAAGGGACGACTTGTAGACTCTGAAACGGGTAAAAGAAAGTCGGCATTTATGCATGCGTGGATGTGAACTGATGACCATAATTCACCAACCAAAAAAACAGATTCCAGAAAGGAAGCTCCAAGAGTGCTCTGTTGGTGCTAATGAAATGTGAGACAATCATTTGTCTTCAACCACGGGCACCTTTGATAACCCTGAGCGTCCTGTTGAATGCTTTCCAACTCCAACAGCTTTTTGATGTTCATCGGCCATTGGCCACAAAAGTCTCTGGTGAGTGTTTCTGGGTTCAGAACCCCGTCACTATTGTGGGCTGGAGGGTTTGTCAATTCAGATCCTTTCGAAATTGGGAAACTGCAAGAGGACCGAATCCTTTTGTGACGCAAGGATGGATAACATGGGGCCCGAGCTAGTGGAGCTCGCTCGAATATAATTTAGATAAGTCGGTGGTATGAACATACATGCGTACATCCTGATGTATGGTTTTGACCCGCCGCGCTTCAATCATGCTCTCCAAATGGATTTAACAAGAAGGGTTCATGAACACAAAGATCTGAACATCACTCGGATCATCCAGAAATCCCAAAGATATCAAGCTAAATGTCATTCACTATGGTCAACCTGTATGGGAAGGGCAGACTCCTTTGTTTTGGCCTTTGATTTGTCTTGGTGTGACCAGGTGCCTGATCTCAGTCCCCGCTTGTGGGCATATGCGCCGTGTCATTTCCTGGCCGGTTTTGTCGCAAGGTTAGGCACCAAGCAAAACCCATACCATTTGCTGCATCGCCAGTTAAAGGTTCTGCATGACTGCGTTTCTCAGTGAGGACAAGGGGAACAAACAAATCTACGAGAAAGAACCACTGCCTACTCCAATGCTTGTCCCATGCGACAAAGATGTGGCCACTTAATGCACGGGACAATTCAGTAGTTTGCCATGCCTCATTCACAAGCAAACAGGCAGTGCGTTGTGAGGCACATACCAAACGGGGTCCCTAAGAACTCCGTGGACCACTGCCACTCGAGCCGGCCACGGGCCAGAAAAGGAATCGTGGAAGAGAGCAGCTCGAACAAGAATCGTGAAAAAGGGAAACGTGGATGAAATGTGGCCTAGGATTGGTGCGGACAGCAAGGCGAGAGAGAGAGAGAGACCCACAAGTCCCTTGCTGGGCAAGCATGCGTGTTCAGCCTCTCAGAGCCTAACAAAAGCAGGCAAAGTACATGATGGCAGTCTACTCACGCAGAATCCATCACAAACACTAATTTTGAGTACATAAACTATGTATTCCTGCCAAACAAATAAGACACTGAGTGTGAAACTTCTTTCGTTGGTCTTTGGTCAACCTCCACAACATGAGAGCAACCCTTAGGAATATTCGGATACTCTGGAAAGGCTAGCCTGCATTCGTAAGCTAGCAGGTGTCTGCACAGTGTACTACTGCTCTGCTGTGAAAAGCAACTCGGCAGGCGTGTCTGCTTTTGTCCCCCATTTGGAGTGGTTCCAAGATGTTCCAAGGGGGAAAGGAAAGCACCAAATTTGGGGTGCCCCATTTTGTCACAATGGCAGGCAATGCACCCATTTATCGCGCGAGCATCGCGTGCATCTCCTCTTGTCGCGGGACCTGAGAAATCTGTCGACTACACACCAACTAAGTTTGCCCTTCATAAGCCGTGGCCCTACGCAAGCTGCACACAGCTCACATCAGTGAGGGTGCAGCCTGCATCCAGTTGATACTCCGAATGCCTCGGCAGGTAAAAAAATCGATCTTCATCTGGGATCCAGGAATTCCTTCTGCCAGCCACGTGTTCTTGGCCTCCGCGGATGGGCCATAGATCATGGTGAGCTTTCGAGAGCACTTGTCGTCCGCTGGATAGATCACCTCATTATCATTGCCGTTCTTGAGGATTCGGAACTCCACCTGAGACTGCTTCAGACTGTCGGGCGATTCAACTCACTGAATTGTGCTTGAACCATTGATATTCCCACAACCTCCTGTGAATTCCTTTCAAGGGAGACAGGTTCCCCACTAAAGGGAAACTGGGCCTGGAGCAAGATTTCTCCAACCCTAGATGCAACATCCGCAACTGTTGCTTTGGAGCCCAACATGGCTTTCTTGTTTGAGGTGTTAGCAAAACTCACTCGACTGAATCCAACTTGACTACAATGCCGTACATGTGCCATGGTTGAAAAGCACACCATAGTCCTTGTCATATGTGTTTTAACTTTCTACTAATCAAAAAAGTTCATAACCATCTTTAACCAGTGTCCCTTTCAGTCAACACTACTTAGACTTCTGAAAAAATACTTCTGGAGATGGTTTCCCTTTACACCAGCATTTAGCGGGGGCAATCTTGAGGATGTCACTTTCATGGACCCAGTTAACCCTAAATAAACGGGCCTTACCGCGGAACACCCACACACACACACAAGCACGGACTGGTCCCTAGGAGTTTTCATGTTTGTTCTGTCCGCACCTGGCCACTGGCAGGGACTCTCAGTGTGATGGTCCTCAAGCCGCACACGGGGCCATCCTCCATCTCCTCGATGTCCCAATCGTTGAAGGAGCCGCTGATGCAATAGACATCCTCCTCTCCGTCCTTGGGTCAAAGCTGATCTTTGCTTTTTACGCGGAAAGAGGGGGGGTCAATCTAAATAAAGTGATGATAATAATAAAACTAATGAATAACAAATAACTAACAACAAGAGCAGGACATCAAGTGGAAGCAGTGCAGATTAAAAGCTGCACCATTTCCTGTCAACAAGTCATTTCAAGTATGTCGGTCCAAACAGGGTTTATCTTTTCCCTTTAGGGGATCCTCAGGGCTTCCAGCCTTGCCACTACTAGCTCCTCCAGTAGAGAGGTTAGAATAAGGGTACCCTTTTTTTCTGTAGTCTATTTTAGTGGGGGAACCCTCCCCCCAAAAATAAACGGTAAAAGGGCACTACTGGAGGACCTAGACTATATTATGGTAGGAAACCACAGGGCAGTGGGAACAAAGAGCCCAGGACTGAGTCAACCTCGAGAAGATGGCCTGTCCCGTTTTAACGAAAATCCATGGGCAGTGACTGGCCAGCAACGAGCTCAACTTTTTCGGCCTTTACTACAATGAATAAACAACGTCTGCCTACCACAAGTGAAGCAAACAGCGAATGCCACCTAAACTCAGACGGAATTGGGAGCACTGGCAAATCCAAGGGTCGTCCATTTCTCCTCCCGTGTCTTCTTTGAACCACCGCTGCGGTGCGTTGGCCGGATCGTCGGGGTTCATCTCGATGGAGTACTTGTCTCCCGGCAGGATCAGCCTACGTAGCCCGATCGAGTTGGTTCTCAAAATGAGAGATGGAGCCAGTCGCTCTTGGGTTTACCTCAAAACAACCCCAAAAAGAATGCCAAGCAGGATGCGCTCATGAGTGGTGTCCCTTTCTCAATTTTTTGGAAGGGCTCCCAACGGATCTGGATGAATGGGACATATGCTTAAGCAAATGGAAGTCTTCGATCCATGTTCCCTTTCCTTGGAGCCACAAAGTTGGCCTCTTGGAATCGTTAGTGACGTTGGTTGCCAGCGGTTCAAGCCAAAAGTCAAAAGCGGTCGACTCGTGGTTTACTTTAAATGCAATACTTGACAAAACGATCATACCTTGACCAAACGAAACATACTCCCCTGCATATTCGCATGGATTCCGAAAAGGGGGAAAAGGAGTGCCTCAAACATGATGTTTTCTTGGGTTCCTTAAACAATTCCCAGGCACGGAATGAGTGATGACAACAAACAACAGCTTCAGCAAAAAACGGGTTTGGGTGAAAACAACGGGTCTAAGCTTCAACCAAGGAATGGGCTTGGACAAGTCCGATTTGATCGACCTGTCCTATACTTCACTTTTTTAATTGCGAACGAGCGGCTGGTCTGGGCCGTCCCAATCCCAGAGCGCGGGATCACTCCCGTTGACCCTGACCTCTGGAGGCGACATCTGTCGGAGCCGTTTCTGGAAGAGCTCGGTGTTGGTGGGCGCGTGATACACGTCCTCAGGGTTTTCGTTTTTTTCCGCACCACGAGGCTGGAAAATCGTTCCTTGGCAAAAAGGACAGCAAAAGGACCGAATACCGATGTTCGACCCTTGTAGTTTTGGACATTTGTTTGAGCTTGGGAGCAATCCTGAACCAATCTCTCTCTCTCTCTCTCTCTCTCTCTCCCTCACTCCCTCCCTCCCTTTCTACGATTGATGCTCCGCTTCGCCAAATTCATTTTGGAGACTTGCAGTCAAGTGCCTGACATCTTAGGTGGTTAAGTTAAGAACCCAATCTGCAACCTGGACTGCCCGTCCTCGCCCCAGAAAATGGCGTGTGCATTGGTACCTCCAAAGCCGAAGGAGGACACGTGCACGTTGCCCTGGGAGTAGTGGTAGGTGCCTAGCTCGCTGTTGAAGACCGCTCGGAAACCTGAGCAGCGAAAACCGCGGGCTTCCCGGCATTTTTGTTCTCACCAGTCTACACATGGAATGAGCGGTATAGTTCTCATGTTCTCACATAGGGACTGAGCCGGGTGTTAAACCTGCCAGTTCCAAGCGGGAGAAACAGCCCTGTGAGGGTTTCCCAATGCGACAAGCTCACATGCAAAGAGCTCTCGGCCCCGGGGCCAGAGTTGGACTCGCCACAAAACGTCAAACTTGTTGCTGGTTGAAAGTGTATATTGCGGAAAACGGCAAAAACACATTTAAACAGAAAGGCAAGGGAACTCTGGGGATAGATCGTTTGGAAGGGCAACCAAAAGGAAGCCAACGACTCTGGATCCCGGTTTTTGAGACACTGGTTTGGCTGCTGTCAATGGATACTGCCAGGAAACCACCGGGAGGCCATTTTGAAACGTGAAGGGTCTTATCCTCACATCTCTTGTCTGGCTAATTCTTGGGCCTTGGGCTGGCAATGAGGTCAACCTGGGTTGGTCCAATCAATCCCTAGCAGAAATTTGTTTATCTGATTGCTAGTGAGTGGAACACCGTGGTTTAAAGGTCAAACAAAGGAGCAACTAAGCCAAACGAATGGGCTCCACCAAATGAAATGGGCTCTAGATTGCTACTCACATGGTCGCTAGTGCCAGTTGGAACAAGGTGAAAATTGCCCACTAAAATTGTGACTTCAAGGCAAACAGCATCCCAGCCCAGCTTCTTTGCTGTGCGCTCAAGGGTTCCCTTGTTTGTCGTTCTAGGTATCTCACCTTTTATGGGTCAAGTCGAGTTTTTCTTTGGTGACGTTTTTAAGGGGACGTCTTTTTGAGGGAACCGAACCCCCCCTGTCTTTCATTCAAAACCCGAGGCGCCGGTCTGGTCCAGGTGGGGGTTCAGCTGGCGCAGGTGGCAGCAGGGGATGGCCATGGAGCTCTTCACCTGGAAGACCGCGGCGATCAGCGAGGTCATGGCGGCTCCGCCCTCCAGGTGACCCGTCTGCGACTTGTTCCTCCGGTCGCTCTCTTTTTCACTCCATGAAGCGACTTGTCCGGGTGGAGGGGGGGGGGGGTTCCAAGCGATTGGTTGGGAATGGGGGAAAGGCGGGGGTTTAGGTTGAATCCGCTGGAACCAGGGGCTCGCTGGTTTTCAGGGATTTGTTTGGAGGGGGGGGGTTGGGAATGAAGCGTTTGGGATCCTGAAGGAAACTGGTTCGATGAGCCAAGTCTCATGGAACCAGCAAGGTCGGATTTAATTTGTTCCCCAACCCTGGTGCCTACGGGATACCGTGAAACCCCTTTCCACCCCTGAATGGGAAGGGGAAGCCATGCCCGCTTTTGGGTTGGGGTGAAGGGACACCAATGTAAAACCTACAAGTCCAGTCCAACCAGAACGGACATCGACAGAGGCTGCCCTTTTGGCAACTTAGGGAAAACAACATCTATGATTGTAGCGCAACACAAAGAAGGAGAGAGTTACTGTCACTACTGGAAGGGCCTGAACAGTTTGAGTGGGGTTGTGGCTACTTTAAATCCGAAATAATTCAAAAGCACTACCTGTAAGGGGTCGGGCCCCTTGCATCTTTCACACGGAAACCGCAAAACCTCGAGGCCCAGCCAGAAAGGATGCAGGCCTTCAATGGAGATGGCAAAGGATGGCAACGCACAATAGGGGTGGCAATGCGTCAGCCCTCCGTGTTTTACATAACAGTGTGAGGAAGCCTGTGCACCAAACCACGTTGTTGGTACCAGAGTATGGCGTTGAAACGCGTTTCCTTTGAAGGACCCTGCTCACCGGCCCACAGCACCTGGAAACAAAAGGTCCACTTTTTGGTACCTTGACTAACAGATGGGCCAACAAGGAAACCCCACAAGGATAAACGGTCGAGTGGCCTTGAACAGAGCCTGGCAACCGTTCTCCAACGAGGCTCCCAATATTGCCCCTATAAAATCAGCCAATTTATAGGACACTCCCTTAACATGAGCGCAGGACGTGGGTTGTCTCAAAATAGGGGCCCCTCCAAATTGTGTTGTTCCATTTGCTTCGCTTCACAAAGGGGGAACCCCTAAAAAAAATCACACCCCAAACGACACATCTGGTGGATTCCCAGTTCCAGCGACTCAGCTGAGCGGCGTCACCACCATCAGGGTGGTGTCCCTCTGCTCCTTGTTCTGCACCTTCCGCACTGCGCCCACCTCGCGGTTGCTGAAGTTCAGACCCCATCCCCATCCCAAGGTTTTAACCTTCGACGGGGGTTCTTTTTTCAAGGGTTCTGAGAACCTTTATGGAAGCCGGGGGGGGGGGAAGGGAAGGGGGGGGGGGAAGGGAGGGGGTGCGGGGGCAACACGTCTCCCAACAGTAATCTCCCCACCCCCAGCCTAACCCCCCTCACCCTGTTTCCCCAAAGCGCGGACCAATAAGACCGTTAAGTTCCCGCCTTATTTGGGGGAAACCAAGCGGGCGGGAGGGGGTTCTTGATTCGGCACCTTGGAAAGGAATAGAGTTTCACAAATACAAAGAAAAGCACGTGGTTTTTTGAACAGTGGATTGAACATGTGACTATGCAGTGGTTGCAATGGACTACTGAGCGTACATGGAAGTACGTTGGGCTTCTAACCATACCACTGCTTCAACAACAATGTCGGGCAGCGATTCAACAAATTGAGGGAACTACAGGCCAGGGAATGTGCAATTAATCGACTTCTGGTTGATTCATTGCGGGTTGATACCTCTCTTTCAATCAGCCTGGGGACTACTAATCCTCAACACGAGTGGTCTTCACCATAACAACTTGCCAGGAGCATGACAAAGCACTCTTCACTAACGGACAGTACCACATATCACTCTTCCCTATACCTCTGGTCAATTCTGGTCATGTGATGATGATTAAACATGGTTTACCCGGTAGCTCACCCTGTAGCAAAAGGGACGAGGCACCTTGGGTCTAGCTGGCTCCCTTGTTACTAAACACATCCTGCAGGAACAAAACAGTTGGTGTTTTATTCACCTGCAATTGGCATGGAACTCGAAACAGATCCCCCAACACGAATTCCTCCAACAATGATAGCTTTTGTGGTTCCATGTTGACCTGTATGTCGAGCCATCAGGCGTCTGCAAACATCAAACACCATGTTCCATCTGGGCAAGTCTTGCCATAACCACCCTGACCTCATGGGGCCGGAATCGGTGAGCTCCATCTTTCGAGTTTGCCCAGATCCATCCTCTGGTGGCAAACAAGCGCACCGAAAGTGGTTCTCTGATACCAATCATTCAGAAAGAGACGAGAGACCAATGCCCCGAGTGGGTGTACACTTCTCTTCGGATGCTACCTTGTCGCTCTGTTGCGGATTCATCCAGAGGCCGTACTAATCTAAGCAACCCATTGAACTGATTTGATTCCCCACCAAAAGGGGGCTTCCCTCCCCAAATTAGTAAATCTTGACATAGCTAACTCACCTCCCCAGTGGTTTTCTCCGCCTAAATGATGTCCACCAAAAGGGCCCCCAATCAAAATCCATTCCCCACATGTTCCATTTCCGCCGCACCTCGATGGGGTCCCCCAGAGAGGTGCCAGTGCCGTGGCAGCTCCAGACACAGCTCTGAGAGGGCGAGATCTGGGCCTCCCCTGGGCGCGAGAGGCTGAGAGGCGATGGCTTCTTTGCGAAAGGGAGACCACCAGAACAATCGCATACAGTACCCACAATGAGTTCCACCTCCCAACAATCATGCAAAAGGACAGGCAGGTTCACAAAAGGAAATCGTCTTCAATGGGAAACCAGCCCCAAAAGGGGTGCAAAATGCCATGGGTCTCGTACTATAGCTGGATACAAGCATTTGATTGTGAGTCTGACAAGCTCGCAAATGACAAGCAAATCTATTTGGGCAAACCCAGGAGCCTAGTTGTGTTGCGTCCGGGAAAACGGGTCCGCGGCCAGGGATATTGTCTTATGACAAGCAAATGGCAGAAACCTTTCACCGAACGAAATGACAGACACCATTCACAGAACGGAAATAAACGAAAGACGCACAGCGCCGAGTGAGAATGATTTGCCAACGCGACGTCAGGCTTCCATAGCCGACCAAACCTCGTGAAATAAGCCAGCACTCCCAGAAAAGACAAAACTTCAACAAACAAAAAGAAACAACAACAACCACAATTTTTGGAGCCAAGAGTCGCATGGCTTTCCAAATCACCTCCTCCTGTGCGATGCCGTTGGGCGCCGTGAGCGTGGCCGACTTGCCGTTCTGCCCCACCATGGAGCCCCGCCAAATGGCCTCCCGCTCTTCGGGCAGGTCTCCGGGCTTCAAAGTCCTGGGAATCCGACGTAGCCCCAGGCCCCAGGCCCCTGGTCCCCGTGGGAGGAAAAGCAAAAGCTGTGGATCCAAGGAAAAGCAAAAGGAGGGTGTGTGGATTTTCTTGGGTCTTAGCAAGTCACCCAAAAAGCGATGACTATCTCCTTGATGCTCCAATTGCGGGCACCCTCAAATTGAGGAATCGCACGTCGGAAACGAAATGACCATGACGATTCCGGGAGCCGTGACCATCCACATGTGCAGAAACTCCATAACACACACCTCCTCAACTGCCAGACTGGGGAACAAAATGGTTGTTGTACGCTGCCCCCCCCCCATAAACTGGGCAGAATCAAAGAACCAATCGACTAAAACCACACCTTTGAACAGGCGTTGCCAACAAATCACCACTGAACGGGTCACAGGATTCAATTCGTTCAAAACTTGCGAACAAAAACCAGGCACGTGGCGAACCTTGGCTGTTGCTCAAACTCGGAATTAAATCCAAGAAAATGGAGGTCTTCGGCTTGCCTCTTGTCTCCGCTAGCTCGCCAACCGGAGATCCATACCAAATGACTACTAAGCAAAACGCATTGCACTTAACTGAATTGGCTGAGCAAGACTCAACATTTCTTCCTAACATATGCTTGGTCTCCAAAGGTCCCCCGGCCCCGTTTATTGGACCACAACCCCAAGCCCACCCTTCACTTACTGCCTCATTGGAGTCTGTAGCCAAGCAAGGTTGGGCAGGGAAGGCATGGGCATCCTACGAACAAATGCATGCTGGATGAAAAGTGGGGTGTGGAGAGCCGCTGCTCATTTTCCGTTTGGGTTTGTCTCAAAATAGCGCCACCCCTGCCCCCCCCCCTCCAAACAAAAAAAACAAAGTACCCCTCAAAAAAAAGCAACCGATGAACCAACCCCCAACAAACACGGGGTGAGTGACCTTCCCCCCCCCCCCCAACCAAAACGCCTCTCCAAGCGTCAGGCCGGAGCAGCCGTCCCCTCGCATGTAGCCCCCGGCCGTGGCGTTGAAGGTGCGGCACCGCATGGAGATCATGTGAGACTGCGAGCTGCCCGCGAAGGCCAAGGGCGACAGGCACCTGAGATGGATCGGCCAAGAATCCAGTGAGCCCAACATGGGTTGGTCAGGTACATGGAAACAAGGACTTTGAGATTTGGCGAAAAAAGCTGCGGTCGTTTGGTGGTTTAACTTTGACCCATACCCAGATGTTGCCTGCTTACGCTTGTTTTCAGCCAGTGCTGGTCTTTCTGTTTTCATGCATTTCAAGGGAAAGAAGTCACCCCAAAAACAAAACGTGTGAAAGGGGCAACATGTGGCATCCGTGTTGCCAGTGAGAGCGTTTGCAAAAACTTGACTAGTGCGCTGCTCGGGGGGGCAAAGAGTCAAATATGGGGAAATGTTTGTCTGGGCTCCAACAAATCTGTTTCCCACGAATGTGCCTGTGGGAGGGTACGCGGAAGATCAATTTCCTCAAGGGACCCCCTGTGAGGTCGGGTCCTTGAAACAGCACCACAAAGGAAGCTCATCGCTAACATTCATCAAAGGCCATGCTTATGGCTGCTTCCTGGGCTTCTCTTGGATACGCCTTTGGCTGCTTGTGATTGACATCTTGAGCAAGTCCCTGATACCCTTTTCGGGGTTGGCCAACTGTTTTAGTTCTTGGATGCTCTATTGTGAAACACGTTTTTTTTTTTTTTTTCCCAGGCCTTGCCTTTTCTGGAGGTGTCCAATTTAATGGCAGGCCACACAATAACAAGAAAAAGCGGTGCCACAGGCCGAGTTGTTCAAGGAACTTCAGGTACTTTTCGGCATTTACCGTGTTTGGACGCAAACGCCGCAAACTACCGGCTTGAAAAAGGAAACGCCCGCAAAAAGGAGCAACACGTCGACAAAAAAGACGCACCAATACGCAAACTACCAAACACACCTAAAACACCCCCTTGAGACCAAAGCCTTTAGGAATTCCTCGGCATTTGAACCTGCAGGGGTTAATGTAAATTCACAGAGAAAGCTCGTCATGCTTCGAAGATATAGAGCTGTAGCATTCCATGGTATGTTTGATGTATGCAACCAATTTGCTGGTGGACAATCGATAACTCGAGTTTTTGTCTCTAACCAAGGGACCGATCCGGTCTGACGTTCATGCCGAATCGGCTTCGTTTTGCTTCGGCTTCCGAGTAGCTGATGGATGCCCAGAGCCACGTGGAACTCGATCTTGTCGATGGTTTGGTCCCGAAGCATAAACTTGGCCTCGGCCCAAGGGCCCATTGCCCATCGGCCCATTTTTTCCCACGGTCCGGGTCCCTTAGTCTTTACAATTGTCTAAAAACAACCTATGACCCCTATGACCATCCCTACCAACTCCAAGAGGGATGGAAGTCGTTGATCGATAGGTAAATGGGAGACACTGTTTTCTCGATCCGAACCTGCGTTGCTAGGCAGACAGATCCACTGCAAAACACATGACTTGATGTTGTGAAAAGGGAACATGAACAAACACCAAACAGGCCAAGAAGTTCAAGCAGGTCAGCCAATATTTGAAGCTTACAATGTTTGGCATTGTTGGCAAAGCAAAACAAAAATGGGTCGCTTTGTTCCCAAACATTGCACCATGTTAGCGAACCCTTAACATCCTCGGCCAAGGGCCTTCATGTTATCCTTTTTCAGGGGCCTCTTTTTTTGTCGTTTTAAGGGAAACCAGAAAAGGACAATACCACCACTTTATGGGGTCCCTCAAAAATATAGACACCCCATATCTAATCGGTGTTCCGGCTTTTCGGTATTCCTGGACTACAACAGAAGCCAAACCCCCCCCCTTTTCGGAGATACCTCTATCACGGCGAAGCTGCTAAATGGGTCGCGGTGAGCGAGGCTGAGCAGGCCGTGTCTGCGACATAGTTGGGGCCCTTCAGGTTGAAGATGAAGCTGAAGCGGTTGGCGATGATGGCTTGGACGTTGGCGCTCCCAATCATGTCTGGCGGCTTTGGGATGTGGTCGTAATCATCCTCAGGGTGCAACTCTTTTGCCGAGACTGGCTAGAAAAGCAAACACATGTTGGCTCTTGAATCAAATGATAAAGAAAACTGATAACAGCAAGCTTCAATTTTGGAAACTGAACAGGTAGGCTTCTTGGCGATTGCCCCTTTCATGCAAGCGGGGTGCCTTCCCCCGTTGCGTGCGGCTTTTCTGAAATGGGTTCTAACACAAGCAACTTAGCTTTACCTGCTAACTCAGTCTCTCACTGTATCATATCATGCTTTCCCAAGAGAATCAATCAAGGCAGCAGAACATGCTTGTTTCAACTCTTATTGCTGGAAGCGTTCTTTTCAAACACAGTCAAACAAAGCCCAGTGAAACTTGCGAAGTGCAATGCTGTGTCCTTGTCCAAGCCCACTGACACTCCGGCGTGATGAGGCTTCCGACTGGAGATGTCTTTGGTGATGCCTTGCTTGCCCGTGGCCATGGAAAAACACCATAATGTTGACTGGTCCAAGCTTCGACCTTTTGGACAAGGTAGCTGTTTGCTGGTTCAACAGGGGGGGCAGGCATGACACAAGCACAAATCTTTGATTCTGGTTCATAGTGAATCTTACCCTCAACTTGCTTAATTCCCCTGGAGAAAAACACTTATTTCCAGTAGCGATAGATTCCCTTTAAAACCAACAAGGGAAATACAGGTATCGTGCGAATGAAAGGTGTGCCGGCCATCTCGCGTGAAGGAATGGCGCTGCCTCCAAAGCCGGCCAGCACAAGCCAAGGGCGGAGGTGTTTTGCCCAGCTCTAAAACTAGAGACCGAGCTCGCAACAGCATAGGGCACTGCTGGCCAATGGGTTTTGTATACAGCCAGGCATTTTGAGCGGTCAAGGAGTCGGAGAACAAATGGTTCATTTCCCATTCCATGGCCACTCAATCCGCACATTTAAACCCAGAATCATGAGTCAGGACAACAGGACAATCTGGGTCCAGTAAAGCAATATAATCGAAATGACCCTGTGCGTGGTGGCTTTGAACCACCCAAAAGCAAGTTTGAGAATTCCTTTTGTCTGCAACCACCTGCACGGGTTAAGGGTAAACCCACCGAAAAGCAGAAGGACGAAAGGGAACCTCTGCCGCGGGGATGCCCATCTTGAAGAGATTCTGCGCACCCACTTCCAGCACGTGTCTTTGCATCGGATCCATGGTGCGCGCCTGGAGCTTCGACGCGATTTCTTTCAAGCGACATGGGAGTCTCTCTGCGTTGTTTGTTTGGTGTGTGGAAGAAGCAACTCTGCAAAGAGTATCCTCAAAACAAAACATGCCCGTGGGAAAATTGGGGAACCGTGGGGGGGGGGATGCTTTCCTCAAATGGCTGCCAAGTTGCCAGTTACTGCCAGGCAATGCAACACCGGGACATTTTTCTGAGAGCGGCAGCTACAAATGTCTGCAAGTTATTACAACTGACCAACTAGAATTGAGGAACCCCCCAAGCAGAGGACCTTTGTGATGGTTTCCACTGCCCCCAAACCACTACTTGTTCAAAGGGAGAATGGGGGGTTCTGCCCGGTGCTAGCCTTTGCGATACTTTACACAGAGTTCATCTGGCCTCATTCAAAGGGATCTGAAAGTACTTGAAGTCGAAAAGCTCGATGCCCTCGACATAGGACCTCAAGCAGGAGACCACAACCGCAAGCAAGGGCCAGGGTGCTGACAAACATGCCACACTCCTCTTCTTCTTCGTCTTCTTCTTTTCTTCTCCTTTATCATTATTGTCATTTCTGTTCCGAACATCACATCAAACCAGCCATTCGTTGTGCGGTCTCTGACATCTCTGACGCACAGCGGCAACCCCAACACAAACCGACAGGAATTGGCGGTGTGTTATTTTGGCAACACTGGTTTGGGAGTCTCAGAACCGACCAGCATTTGGTTTGGACTCAACCGTTTCAGGTCTTGCGAGACTGTGTGTCAAGGTGATGCTTGCTTCCACATAGACTTCCTGGGTCTTCTATAATCTGCGAATTGCTCCATGCACTTACCCGTACAAAAGAACACCATGCGAACATAGGGGCCTTCGTTTGCCGTCAACACCTAGCAGCACTAGTGGTGCAATGTGCTTAATGTCCCAGCAAACACCATCCAAAAGAGCGATTTCCCATCTGAGCACCCCCCCCCCCCGCCGGTTGAGCAATGCACCCACTCCTTTGTGGAGGCCGGGAGCGCAGCTGTTGCAAAAAAAAACAACTGAGGCCTTCTTTCGTTCTCCTGCTGGAAGGAACATGGCGTCTCGTGAAACAGACCGTGGGATTGACTCTCCTTCCCTTCCAAATCTTAGCACCATCACACTCCAACAGCTGCTGGTCCCGTGTCCAAAACCACAACTTCTATCCGTCCAAACAAGTGGCACCAGTTTGGGAATGATCCTGCCATGATGTTGCAATATGATGATGTCAGCCTATCCATTCGCTTCAGGCGCCACACAAAAGAAACAAGTCTGCAATGCGTGAGCATCTCAACCAACTAGAGGAACTAAGAAGTCACCTCACTAAAATCAACTCGCCGAGAGGGCAGTGCACAATAAACTTTTGCGTTCTGCATGGCTTTGCACTGGCTTTTGCCACTCACATTGGGTTTGGCCTTTCTTCCCCTCGCCCCGAAGGTGTTGGATCGATCGGATCCCGGGCGCTGGTGCATGACCACCGACTGGTGAGGCTTCGCCTCCTCAGGGATGGCGCAGTAGTACTCCGCCAGGTCCCAGCGAGTGAAGGGGATCCTGAGCCACAGAACCGGTTTGCCCCCAGGCGTGGGGTTTCCAACTTGGGGTTCCCTAAGGGACACCCCCAAAAAATAGGGCTTCCAGAGAAATTCCCCTGGAAAACAACCACAAAATGGGGTTCCCTCAAAAGACACACACACACACATGTATACTAATTCAGACTCGCAAGGGGAGCCATTGTAAACCTAGTGGCTAGCGACTACAAGGGCTGGTCCTGCTAGTCTCCATTTTGTTGCAACGCTATGGCTCTCTTTGCGAGTCGGCTCTGAATCAGTACTGAATGGCGAGATGCATACGATGGAGGCTCTATTTGATTGATGTCGACCAATAATAATTGCCGCAAAACCTACGATACTTCCAAGACCTGAAATAAGACATGGATCCTCATGTAGAAGACCTATATCATGGTGGGCTTGCTTCTTTTACCCAGGCCAGCCTGCCATACAAAGGCAGATTAACCAGCCTTTTGGATTGATGAGTGTTGGTTGCTATCAAGGTCTAAAAACCTACGAATGGGAGTGTGGGGTACGTGTAAAAAGCAGTGGTTATGAGCAAACTGTTCGTGATTATTTGGGGGGTTCCTTGTATGTTCGCTCTAATCATCACCAACAGCTCAAGAGAACGGCGATTAAGACTGAAAAAGCGGCCCGAGGGCGTTCCAGCAATGGAAGTGGTCAGGGCGTTTCTTTCAGAGCGTGGAAGTCTTCCAAAGCCCCTGCCCAATTCCATGTTGAATGGAAACAGTACTCCCTCAAACCAGACACATGAAACCCAAATGTTAACATAGAAGCCGACAAACAACTGGTGACGGTGCACTTCTTTCAAAAGGCGTGGTCCTTTTTGAAAATCAACCACCCGCGGGATCCTTGGGGAAAACAACAAAAGGTTGGATTGGCGGCGTGCGCAAACCAACACAAAAGGTTACAGGGTTCCCATGTGGAGGAAGCCAAAAAGGTTGGCTGAAAGTTGGGGCGGTGGGGGGGGGGGTCGATGTTAAGCTGGACTCAAACGCAGGGGTTTGCCATTCGGGATCACCACCACTCGGGGCAATCAAATGATCAAACCCTGTCTTGTTGTTTTTAGCGAAATCCAGCTGCTCCTGGTGAACTGTGTCCCAACCCACAAATCTCCCCAGTGTGCAATCCGAGCATCCCAGTGGACGTTTGGCCTCCTTTTGCATGTGAAGCCAAAACGGTTTCGTTTCCGTTTAGCCCTTTCAAACATCACCCACCAAAAAAACTTGCTAAAGAGGCAACCGGAAGGACATGTTCAAAACCACGAACCGGGGCAATCTAGAGAACCCCGTTTCACAAACACCATCCAGCCAGAGAACTGAAAACCATCCAAAGGACAAACAAAAGGCGCAACGCGGCCCCAAACTTTCGCCGAGCTCGGCCCCCCAAGCCTCCCCCCCCCCAAAGCGACACTAAACATCATCTCAGCGTCTCCACGCCGGTGTCCGTGCACGCGCCCAAGCCAGCTCGGTACCTCGGATCAAAGCCAAGGCTCTTCGTGTGTTTGTGTCGAGGGGATCCTTTCTACCTTGGCTTAACGGGGAAACCAAAAGGACACACGACAAGTGTCGGGGTGGCCCGATATTCACACACGCAAATACTCCCAACCAAAAAAAGCAACAACAACAACAACAACAACAACAACAACAACAACAACAACAACAACAACAACAACAACAACAACAACAACAACAACAACAACAACAACAACAACAACAACAACAACAACAACAACAACAACAACAACAACAACAACAACAACAACAACAACAACAACAACAACAACAACAACAACAACAACAACAACAACAACAACAACAACAACAGCTAGTCACAATCGTATCTCCCATGAGGACTAGTCTGAATCTCCGTTGTGGTAAGTCAGGGTAAACGTTCCAGGGTGACAGAACCCTTGGCGGATTCAGAGGGGTGTGGCCCATTTTAGAGGGAATCCTTTTCCGAGGTTGATTCCTGGGAGAAAGCTGGCATGTATATATATATATATATATATATGAGGCGCAAGGGCAGGTCCGATGATTAATCGACCCATCTTGGCCATCTCTGGGCTACATGGACTCTGCCTCCCTTGCGAGGCGGCTTTGGGAACACAGCTGACTCAAGCGGTCCAAGTAAGAAATGAGCTCGCTGTAACTTGCCCAGCTTTCCGTTCCTTACGAGAATGGAAAACCCTGATTCTAGCCTGCATCTACCCAGGTTTTGATTGTCCTCACATAGCAGCAGTCCAAATGTCAGCAACATTCGGGAAAATTATGACTAGTACGCCCAATAAAACAATAGTTTGTTCATCCTAGATTGGAATGAATTGAGGTAGCTCAGCGGGAGCTTTCTTTTGGTTTCTCTTCAAACCCCAAAAGAAGCAAGCTCTCCAACAACCAAACACACACACACACACACAGAGCCAAGTGAGCAGCCTTCGAAACCCATTCACTATCGGTTCTACCAACATGGTCACAAAACCCACAAAGGTTTATGAAGGCCGTACCATAACTTGCTGGTGCTCAGCAGGGAATGAGGGAATGCACCTGGAGATTCCCTTCAAGTAAACCACAAGGGATGGTTAGGGGTCATTCATTTCTCATTCCCTACTGAGTACCAGCAAGATAATCTCCATTAAGCCAGGTCCAGGTACCACGTGGCCAAGTGGTTGGCCCCTGAATTCGCGTGGCGAGTGGCGCTTCGGGCTCATCCCAGCGGGCCATGAGGCGACTGGAGAGGTTCACCACGTTGATGTGAAGACCCCCCGGCCCCGGAGGACCCTCAATACACCGCAGCCAGTCCTGGGGATCAAAACGCAGAGGTTCTGAAGATCCAAGTTGAGTCACAATCAAACTTGCATTTGTAATGGTCTAGCCCAAACCATGTAAAGAATTTAATATGGCGGCACTTATTGGCTGGGACTATCCCTGACTAACCCTCATCTACCCGGTCTTTGACTGCGATTGTCTTAAATTAAAGCATGAGCTCCCGAATGGTTGTCGGATGAATACCAAACCACAAATGGCTCCTCACAAAATAGTTTCTGGCAAGGGATAGGAACCACGTGTCAAGCACGTGTCACAAATACACGCCCGCTATATTTCGTCGAAATAGCTTCACCTCTTTACAGAGCGAAGTTCGAAGGCGGCACCTCCCGCGGCCCTCTCAAAACTATGCTGGGAGTCAGGGCATGTAATGGGCCATGGCGTTGCTTTGCTCTACCTTCTCCCAGTTGAAACTTTGACAAACCTTCAATAGAAAGCGACGAATCATTTAAGGCTACCACCAATTTTCCATGAAGGCTGTCCTAAAAGGACATATTGTGGACCAAAAGAGAGCCCCTTCATCTTTCCTTTCCAAGGCGATCGCCAAAGCATTTGAAGCAGTTCTCAGCGATCAACTTTCATCAGAGTGGCTGACACTGTTCCCAAAACCGATGGAGGACCACCCTAGCTCAATCCCATCAACCTGAAACCGACAGGGGGTCACCCAAAAGTGATTCCCTTATACTTATACTCTACAAAATCGATCAAGTAGTTTGACCACTCAGTACACCCTTATAGCCACCCGAAACCTGTAGAGTAGTTAAACCCCTGTTAGACCCCTTTAAATACACTACATGACTTTATGCACCCAGAACCAACAAAGTAGTTTAGTTTAATATGAGGCCAACTAATTGCACATTATCATCTTGTACTCATGGCTTTTTTGGCTTTGAAGTACCACAATCCCCTACGTTCCTCAGGTACTGGGACGTTTGGGGATCGATTTCATTCCGAGCTTCGAGATCCATCTCTTCTCTGCCTGTGAGGTATAGGGAGTCCATGTGCTCCAGAAGAGACGCCGATAAGATCATGGTCTCCTGCCAACTTTTTCCTTCGGCTTCCCAAGACCCGAAGTTTCAAAGGCCGGGTCTTGGCCATCGGAGCAAGCACTTGGCTTGGTGATTGTTTTGCTCACACGGCTTGCACCGTTTGGTTTTATAGCCCATTCAACAACCATCAACTAGGGCTTGGTGGTCTTTGATTTCCTCTTTTGGTCTCCCTTCAGTTTTCTCGGCAAACTGCACATCGCAAACCTTCGAATCATGCGGCGCGACCTCGATTTACTCCCAGATGAGCTTGTCATAGTTTGAGCACAAGGCATCCCTCACACACGGCTACCCAAATGTCCCCATTAAACATCACCCCGCCAAAAGGAATCCCCACTTGAAATTGGCCCCGAAAGGTGATGTTTACACCATCACAAGGGGGAAGTATATTGAGCCCTGTGCAAAAGGGTAAAAGGACACTTCAATCCCAGCCCTGCCTGCGAAGTCCTACATGCCATGTCAAACATCGTGGTGCGGTACAGCAGCACGGTGTGGGAACCTGCTGAGATCTGCACCTTGCCCGGTGAATCTCCACCCCTCAAAGAAAGTCAAACAAGGTGCTTTGTGTTTTTTTTGTAGGTCGGTTGTTTTCCAATGGAATCCTGCCAAAGCAAGCCACAAAAGGGCTTGTCGCTTTTGTCCGTTTGGCTTTTTCATAGGGTGCTGAATTTACTGGCCAGAAAAGGTTGAAGTTTCCGAGTCTTGATTAAATGATGAAAACAGTTACCCAAAAAAGGTTCAAAGTTTGCCAACTCAACAGAAAAGCCGCAAAAGCAGGAAAACACAAGGCGCACGCGGGCTTCAACTTTACCATGTCCCCAATTGGCGTTTGGAACACCCAATTCCTGAATTCAATTTGGTGCCCAATGTCATCCATCCCCTTTGGGGCACACCACAATTGCTCCAACCCAACAGCTGAAACACGAGCAGACAAAAATGCGCTAGAAGAGGCCCCAAGGGTTTTCAGCTCGGGCGCCGGGTCTTTCTTCATCTCCTCCGGCGCATCCTCATCCTGCTTCGGGGTGAGCGTGACGCTTGCAGCCTCTGGCCCGAAGAAATGCATCATCTTCAGCTGACTTCCTCGCTTGGAAACTGGGCCAGACGGGTCTGACCCCTGGCAAAAAACACAAGTAGAGAAGGGAAGTGGATTGAAAGTCAAAAGGCAAAAAGCTAAAACGATGAACTCAGCGAGGGAGGGCAACCCGCCACAGAGTAAGCCACAAGAAGAATCCACAAGTGTGCGGCCGGATAGAATACAAGGTAATCTTGGACCTCATCTTGTCCCACCAAAGCTAAAGGACATTTCAGGTACACCACCGCGCAGTTTGTCTTCTCTTGTTTCTCTGAGGATCGGGGCGACGGGGGGGGGGGGGGGGGGCGGGGGTCGTGCCATGGACATGTAGCGACTATTTCGCGACCCAACCCCTGAAAACCCGCCCTACAGAAGGTGGTCGCAAGATAGGACCTAAGCGTCCACCATACCAGCGGGGTGGTCCAAAATCATGATAGGAGTTGCCCCACAGTTTGACAGCCAAGACTGCGAAGCAATTATGCAGCTGGGAGATTCTCACTGGAGTTGCCTAACTGACAAGCTGATCAACACACTCTATGGAAACTTCCAAAATCGGAGGTATGGCAACTTGAGGGACCCAATGGCGCGAGAAACTTCGCCGAGCTGCTCCGCCAGTTGTTGTAAAAGCTCGCTAAGGTGTAGTCGTCCGCCGCCATGGGCGCCACGTCTTCTGCGGGCGCCAGGGACAGGCTGAGCAGCGCCGGAGTTCTGGCGTCCACCTGAGGCGAAATCAAGCTACGAGGTGAAGCGAATTCGGCAATGAACTAGGGATGAAGGATGTGGTGAGGATTTGTCCAATGGCGAGGGTTGCAGAATGTTGAACATTTTGAAAAATGAGCAACGATTCCTTTCTGCATCATGGTTGATTCCCATCCATCTTCCCGTCGCTATCACCGGCCCCAGCAACTCCCAACTGCCATGACATCAGAGCCAATAGGCAACCCGAGGCTGGTGATGCCGGGGATGTGGCCAGCCAACCAACCGACCAACCAACCAACCAACCAACCAACCAACCAACCAACCAACCAACCAACCCACCAACCCGCCAACCCACCAACCCGCCAACCCACCAACCCACCAACCCACCAACCCACCAACCCACCCACCCACCAACCAACCAACCCACCAACCAACCAACCAACCAACCAACCAAACCAACCAACCAGCCAACCCACCAACCCACCAAGCCACCAACCCACCAACCCACCAACCCGCCAGCCCACCAACCCGCCAAACCCACCAACCCACCCCCCACCCACCAACCAGCCCACCAACCAGCCCACCAACCCACCAACCCACCCACCCACCAACCAACCAACCCACCAACCAACCAACCAACCAACCAACCAAACCAACCAACCAGCCAACCCACCAACCCACCAAGCCACCAACCCACCAACCCACCAACCCGCCAGCCCACCAACCCGCCAAACCCACCAACCCACCCACCCACCCACCCACCCACCCACCCACCCACCCACCCACCCACCCACCAACCAGCCCACCAACCAGCCCACCAACCAACCAACCAACCAACCAACCAACCAACCAACCAAGGTTTAAAAAAGATAAATAAATAAATAAAACAGCCCTGGGGAAAAAAACAACAACAACACAAGACCCCTAAACTGGTCTGATCAAAAAGTAAAAGTCCAGGAACGCGGAAATGGAGAGAGCTAAACTGGCAAAGATTCAGGACAATTGAGTTGGAACCCAGCACGCCTTTTTGCCCAAGGCATCCTCGCAGTAGGGCTGCAACATGGTGGCCATGGTGGAGATAAATTCGTCGCTGTCCTTCAGGACTTTGTCCTGCCAGTGGCGAGCGAGCCCAAAACCTGGAAAGACCTCTGCCTCACTTCCTGAGACTAAGCAGAAAGAGTCCAGACTCTTTGTGTCCCACGCCCAGACTGGTTCTTGATTAAAGAGAAGCCTGACCGGAATGGGGGTCACCATTTCTTGAGCCCATGAAGACCCATTCTTCGGGACCCATCCATGAATACCCACTCTTAGGGGCCAGCAGTTCTTGGCTGAGACCCAAAAGAAAGCAACGCTGGCTTGAGGTCCTGAAGGGTGCGGTCGCTGGGATCCAGCCAAAGCACTCGCGCTCTGGCGCCCTGGCCCAAGTAGCCCTCCTCCACTTCTTCGGGCAATCGATCGAATCCTTGGCCGCTCAAAGATCGCCGAAAAGTTGCGCCAACCATCTGATTTCAGAGCCAACTCGCAAGAAAAGCCAGTGCAACCTAATAGTGAGTATTCGGGCCATTCAGGCCCATTGGCGTCATCCTCCTATGGCTCCCCTTGCGAGTTGACTGAAACAGCATTGGATGCCGAATTCAAAGGAACACTAAAGCCCATTCAAAGAAGGCTTCCCCGACAGACAAACCCAAGTATCAACACCAACTCTCCCAATTCGTTGGCTTTTTCCGGCTTCCTTTCAACACTGATGCAAACTAGGGCCATACCAATCTGAGGATACCCCCCAAAATGACACTATCCCCAACTAAAAGGAGAACCACCCTGATTAGCATGGTCCTCCGGATCTATCCAAAGCTCCTCTTCTCAAAAACCTCCAGCCACTCAGGTTCCGCGAGTGACTGAAAATGCCTTCGAGGGGCTGCCACTTTCCACCAGCCTCTTGGCGGAAGCGAAGGCATGCTCAATCTCCTGCTGTGACTGGCAGAGCTTCAGGACACCTGAGGCCAAAAACTCACGGAGGAGCAAAGAGAACACCAATTAATCAGTATTTCTAGTGCTCAACATTCTGTTAGCATACCCAACCAATATCTTTTCGCACACATCTAAAGATTTCAACCAGGAAATGGGTGGGCCACAATGTGGTTTCCATGTGCTAACTGATTCTTACTCACCAGCCTGATACGAGAGTATAACCTTGCTTGCCTCATGGTTCCATACCTGGGGATCCCATCTGGCACGATTCACAAACCCGAAGGGACCTTCATGGGTGAGCTGGTCTTATCTCAGCTCGGTATAGTTTGCCCAGACGCTTTCCTAGAAGTGGTCGCTATAACGGGCGCTGAGTGCAACCAAGGTGCAATATCCCTTCTCCATCAGGCACGTTGCCGCCTCACGGCAAGTGTGCAAAGGTGCGCTTTGCGCGTGTGCAAAGCCTTCTCTTTGACAAACACAAGTTGCTGAAAAGGAGAGAAAGCTGCAACATAAGCTTTGGCAAAGCGCCGTAAGCGCAGGGGCTCCGACACTCCAGAAGACTGCACGCGCTCGATGATCAACGTCCGATGTCATCCATTTGGGTTCTCGAGGCATTCTATGGGACATGGACCACATTGAAACACGGGAAAGTGCAGCTCCAAACTTATCTTCGCCGCCAACAAGCTTATGGGTTGGGACTCGAACATATTTGATGGTTGCATACATACGAATAGATTGCATATATTTTCTGATGTCCCCTAAATGGTCCCTAGGTGAATGGTGCCTCGGGAAGTGATCGATTTGGTACCTTCGGGCAAGTGGTTGCTGTTTCCCTAGAATTTTGTCTGATTGATCGCCAAAGAATCCCCCGCCCAAAATCGTCCAATCGTGTCTCAGAGGCGCCTCCTCCGCCAGGAAGTCTTGGCAGTGCCTGGGGCCCACCAAGAGGTCGAAGCCGCTGGCCGCCGCCAGCTGCGCGGGCTTCACCTCCGAGGGCTTCGGGGCCCAGAAGGGGCTTCGGGCAGGCGACCCAGGCGTGCGTGGCTTCGGTTTGAGTTATAGCCTCTAGGTCCTCCAGATTTGAGACGGTAGAATAAGGGTACCAACTGTTTCAGAGTCTATTTTTGTTGGGGAACCCCCCCAAAAAAGAGTCAAAGGGCATTACTGCAGAACCCTTAGTCCCACGACCGTGGCACCTGACAGGGGACCCTTGACAAGGAAACTGATCTTCCACACAAATGCCAGTGGGAGGGAGGGTACGTCTTCCACCAAACCAGGCTGTCCGTTTTTCCCTTGCCCACTGGAGGACTGAACTTCCGAGAGGGACATATACTTCTGATACCCTGGTGAAAAGACAACCGAGCAAAAAGGGAAGCCGAGTGGGTGGGATCCGAGGGACGTCTGGTTCTGGGTGTGCAGACGAGTCAACACATAAACACTAGAGCAGGTAAGCGCCGTGTGTGCATGACATGAATCGAAGCCCTAAAACATGAGGTTTCACCTGCCATTTGTAGACAAACTCCAGGAACATGTTTGCACATCTCAAGAGCAACTTCAATTACAAGAGATGTGACTTGGACAAAACAGCAAATGGTCAAATCACATCTGGGGATGTAACAAGAGATCTAAGCCTAATTCAAACCCAGGGAGTGCCAGCTCAGCCGGAAGTCAAGTTGGACGCTTGAGACGGTGTCGCCTTTTGGGTTCTGGGTCGCCGATTTTTATCCGCGAGGCGTCGGCCTGCCGAGTGGAGCCATTCAGCAGGGCCACGGTGAAGGTCTCCTGGGGTCCAGCTGGACATTTCCCGGCCAATGGGAATAGATCAACCAAAGAACTGGTCCCTGAGGAAACCAAAAGCAAAAGGAGCAAGTCAAGTGTCATGTCAGAGGGCAAGGCATGTCTAAGTCGTGGACTTGAATGCATTGTGTCTTGACCAGCGCTCAACCGCTTTCATGCCGTGGATGTTTGGATGTGCGCCTGGGCCGGAAAGAATCGTGAACTGAAAATAAGGACTCCCAAGGCACCACGGGTGAGCTTTGGAAAAGCCAAGGGACATCGAAGCTCACGGTGGCAAGTACCCCAGACAAGCCCAAGCTCAGGAGGGGGTGCCCATGAAGGAATGTCTGGAGAGCCTCCTTGAACAACTGGCTTGGGAAATCAGCTCAAACCCCGAACCACTGCAAGAAACAGCAGCGTGGCGAAGCACAAGGTGCAGCCAAAACCCGTTTGTGAATTGAAGTTGACCTCAAAGCGCACGCGCCCTCGAAACACAAGCGAAAACGCTTCGTCTTTCAAGGGGCAACCGCGCCCCATCCCAAGTTGCCCAGCGACCGGCGAAACCAGGGCGAGGGTGAAGCTTCCAACCACGTTGAAACTGCGAGCCCATCTGTCTGGGAAGCCTTTTTTGGTTGGTTTGAACGGGAAGCCCAGAGGAAACCAACCATTTGCGAAACCACAGAAATGTCTCCTCCTTCTCGGAGTAGGACACCAACTGGCCCAGCCGGTCATTGAGCTCGACGCCGTCCACCTGGATTTCGCGAAGCGCAGGCTCGCTGGCCATGTGGGTCCGTTTTTTTGTTGACGGTACCCTTGTCTAGATATGGGTTTAAGGGGAAACCAAAAGGACACCCACCATTTTTGGGAGTGACCCATGCATATGATTCAGAGAGGGGAGCCATGGGATGGCCTCGGGGTGTCCAATTGCAGTTGACTCAAACCCAATGCCACGCCACGGGCGAAGCAAACAAAAAAACACTCACAGCCAACAAACGGCCCTCCAATCAATGAATGTTAACCCCCGATGTTCAGAAATTCTGCCAGATTTACGTAGAGGGTAATGTCCATCCCAAAAATCATCGGACCCCCTCACCCCCATCCTCAAAAGAGTACTTGGACCCTTTGGTGAAGAAAGGTGATGGAGGAGGATGGTTATTTAAGAGGAAGGTTGGAGGATTGTACGGAGGTTTGGAGAGCCTTTGCGGGCAGGTTTAAGCAACGACTCGTTCAATGGAAGCTTTGTAGGGAGGTGTAAGGATTAAACAAAAGGCTGAGACCAGAGGAGGTTGTTTAAGAGCATCAATGGAGCCTTGGCAGGGATCTTCAGGATCTTCGGGGAAAGGAGCTTTAAGGAGGTTGTAGTGGGACTGTTGATCAAACAGAAGCCCTGGTTGATACGCAATTCTTGGTTGGATTGAAATGGGGCGAATGTACCCCTCAGAGCGCACCAAGGGACCCTTGCAGCTCGGTTTCCGCCCTTCCCCACCTCCACCGCCGAGCCCAAGCGGAAGCCGTGAAGTAAGGCGCCCGGCTCCATGGCGCGACTATTTGCCCATGGGGCCAAACGCGAGAGCTCGAGCCAAACGCCGAAACGCCGCCCGGAGCTTTGCTTCCGTGAGACTTGGAGACCGCATGTGCGGTCGTGACTTTCAGGTCAAAGGCTTTAAACTTAGAGTCAAAGGCCCTTCACAGTCTGAACACGGCATGTTTTGCTGGCAACCATTCATTGGTGAACCTTGAGCAAACGTCAAAATGGTCCACATGACGCGCTCTGCACGCAAGCACATGCCCTGGAAAGCATGTGTCAACGCTAAGCCTTTCAAAGGTCTGCCAACCCCAAACTTGTTTACCTCAACTTCTTTAAACTTCTGTCGCCCCATCCCCCTGGTCCTTTGTCGCGTGCGCTGGGCTGTCCTGGGCGACACGTGGCGCTTGCGTAAACAGGGACCCCTTCTTGGGCCGCTGTTCAAATTTGGCCAGGCATAGACACCGCAAAAATGAATTTGTTGCTGGCTAAAAATCAAAATGAAGGAACACCAAAAAGGCAAAGGGTTAAAAGGGAAAGCTATGGCTGGAAATGTAAACACAATTATCCTGTGTCATGCTTCCAAGGTTCAGGTTCAAAATGTGTTGGCCTGCTTGTGGCTAGCAAAAGAGCCACTAGCCATTGACCAATGCAATGATGGGTGTCTCCAAAAAATTGGCCCCCCCTCCCATCCCCCCTTGCGGCTAGTTTAAGGGGCGGAAAAAACAACACAGAGAGAGATTGTGAAAAATTTCACAAAGGTTGCACATAGATTGATGTGCAAAGAGATGGCGCTGGAAGACATCACGCTGCCGGTGCATTTGTGAGGGAGGAGGCCCAGCTATCAGGGATCTGTGTGAGAGAACTGCTGTGCGTGCAAGCTCGCCCAGCCAACCTCCAACCACCCCGCAGGGGCTATCAAACGCAGAGAAAGTCCCCACAATTGCTCGTTCTGGACTGATTTTCTGGGGGCGTAAAGACGTTGAGACATCGCAAAGCTCAAATCCAACCCAAAACTAGGCTCGAATTTAGGACCCCTGCAAAAATACATTTTTTGCCACAAAAGCAAACAATCAAAAAGGGGAGCTAATTCTGGGAAAGAAAACAGGCAAGTGTGAAAGCTGAGGGAGCCCTCAAGCCTTCAGGCTTGACGTCTCTTCTCACTTGCCCGTTCAGGCTGAACATCATGGGTTGATGTCTTGTCCCCCTTCATAAACATGGACCACTGGAAATCCAACACGTCGAAAGATCGCGTTGCCATGGGCAAGTAAGCTTCATGCACCATCACAACACTTGGATCCTGACATTGGTCTACCGGCCTTGTGAAGTGATTCCTGGCCAACTGTGTCGACTGTCAACCATGCTCAGACCCCCCTTCCCATTTGCACATCATTCGGGTGTTCCCAGAACAGTATAAGAAAAGACTTCCAAAAACAGTTCTCCCAACCGGTATGGCAACAAAATCAAAAAACTAGGCACGACTTTCACGGTTGCCTGTAGAAGCCTCCTGCTCAGTCAGTTCAAGGCAAATTGCCTATCTGGGGGGAAACATGATTAACTCACCTGCACAAAGAAATAAAAGCGTCATCGCCAGGTCCGAACTTGTCGCAGCCAGAACAAGAAAGAGAGCGCCTCTTTTCAGGGGCCCGAAAAGGGGCATCATGTCCCTTTGAGTTTTGTAACACATTATTTTGGTAAGGTCGCGCAACCGTTTGTCGTGCCACTCTGAGTCAGGCACAAAGGACCCCACGGCACGCGGCGCGGCCGCGCCATGAGCGGGGTGCTCCGTGTGCGAATCAACTCATCTGCCAATGTGCCTTCGCCAAACCAAGTTGCAAGCTTTTCTCATGACTCTTGGATGTGCACATATATCTGGACACATGATTACCTGAATAAACAAGCCCAACGGGCCTTCCTCACGGCGCTGAGCTGGCTGCGCTTGGACAGATCTAGTCATTGAGATGTTTTTAAGAGGTCAGCGACTGGTTGCTGAGTGCAAGCGCTCTTTACAAACTGGTTGTCAAAGGAATGTATTCAAAGGAGATTAAGGTCCCCAAAGGGCACCTTCAAAAGAGGGATCCAAAGATGACCCAAGTTTACTCCCCACTCTAGAATGTTGCGGGTGGCAAACAGGAACCATGGCTATCTGCAGAGGTCTTTACACTAACACAACGCCTTTAACAGGTTGATGATCACTACGAAGCCAAAAAACAGGGGGTGGCCATGGCAGAAGCCTCTGTTGGTTGCTTCCGAACATTGGAAGTGTGCTGCACCCAACTTGGCGAACATTCAACCCCAAGTTAGGAGTCACCTTGCAAAACCAAAAGCTTTGAGGTTGCGATTTGCGTCGCTGAGACTAAAGCCACCGAGATAAGGCCTTCCAATTGAGCCACGCTGGAGGAAAGCGGCAGGCAAGTCAATCGCTTCGGGCCCTGCGAGCTTCTGTTCAAAATCAATAGGTAAGTCAGTAGCCAAAGCTAGGAGGAACAAAGAGGAATTACTTTCGGGTTTCCCCACAAGTCTATTTCTGCTTTGAGATGTCACTGTCTAACACTCACTTCAGGTTGTTTGACTCCAGTGATACCCATCGCGAGGTCATGTACCCAAAGGTCACCTCCGTGAGCTGTGCAAGTGGTTGCTACTCTTCTTCCACAAAGAGGGGCCCTAGCTGTGACGTGGAACTTCATATGTGAAGCTGTGGGCAGCTCCGAAGCCACTGCAACTGGTTAAACCTCATCTGTGGCTGGCTCCATTTCAACCAACGGTTTCCAGGATTTGCTTGCGTCCAAAACATTAAAAGGTTGTTCGCAAGATGAGCAACCTGAGAACCACGACGCGACCTGCCCAGCTCCCGCCTTTGCTACATCCGGGCGGCGGTCCTCAGTGGAAAGCATGGCCCATCAGAGACACTGGGCTGCAATGGTTCCCCTGAGGCAAATTACTACAATTCACAAAAAGGAAATCAGGGATCCCCGGGTAAGGGACTCTTCAGGTTTCAGGTGAGCTCGCTGTACTCGCAAGTGCGCGTGTTGCAATTTGCCTCTTTCGGGGAGGAGGGCCCCATGGCGACTTAGGGTCAATCTCGCCACCGTCTTTGGGGTATTTGCTACTTACATGGAGATTCAGGCATTCGAAATATATGTATACAGTATTTGGAGTCGAGTAGGGACTACTAGGTCCTCCAGTAGAGAGCTTAGAATAAGGGTACCCTTTTTTCTGTAGTCTATTTTAGTAGGGAACCCTCCCAACCAAAAAAGGGTGAGAAAGGGCACCTAGCTGGCGGACCTAGACTATGTTCCAGGTTCGAACACCTGCGGCCCGCCTGGCGGCATCGGCGGCAGCGAGGATACTGGCGGCGGGCCCGGCGGCAGTGGCGGCAGCCCCGCCGGCAGCGGCGGCATGTCGGGCTTCGAGGGTGGCCTCGTGGCGAATTCGGCGACCCCCAAGAAGACATGGGATACTTGGGGTTCGTCGCCCTAGTTTTGGGCAGGACAAATTCACCATAGACCAGGCAAAACTTGTCTGAACAACCCTAGTCTCCTCAAGAAATCTAAAAGGAGGTTCAACACATTTTTTAGCAGACGGTTGGCCCAACACTGATAGCTAAGTTGCTACTTTGCTTCGAAAGCACAACACAGTCGCAGCTGGGAACAAACAGCAGCCGACGATCTAGGCAAACCAACCCCAAAGAAACTCAAGATGCAACATGGGACAGCTACCGGAGTCGCAGGAAATGATACGGCGGTACGGTCGAAGCTTCATGGCACTGAGACATAGACATACTATGAGTGTTTCTCGATGGGGGTTCCCCATTTTGAGGCCCAAATCCACCAAAAGGGTCACCTGCTTGCTGGGTAAGTCATCCCTTAGTCGTTCCCTAAACCTTCCATCCGAATCGAAGCCCCAGTCCCTGCTTTGCTTCTCCCAAAGTATGACCGGCTCCCCAGATCGGGGATCTCTGGGGGCTATTTTTTGGGGAATTTACGCCTATGTTACCCATATGTGGCAAGGTCAACAATCGGGGCCCTACGAATGATGGCTCCCGCAAAAGGAATCCTTATCATGGTTGTTTAAAATCCTATTGCGCCCGTGCCCATCTCCAACCCCAAGTAAAACGTGCTGCCTATTTCACCCACCCCTACAAATTTTATATGGAACCCGTTTGAATTCGTCGGGACGCCCAGGAGATTCCCGGACAAGTCCCTGCTTGCAAGCGGCCCAGGCGGCAGCGCCGCTTTCGCTGGTGCCGGCCCTGGCGGAGGCCCGGGCGGCAGCACAGTTCCTGGAGCAACCCCCGGGGTGTAACCCTCGACTTGGGGGGCAAAAACGCTGGACATGGACCCCCCCGAGTGTGATGTGTGATGGGTGTGTTGTTTTAGAGTTGGGATCTGGCTTTCTGGTGGGTTTGCAGGGAAATCGAAAGTTTGAAACGCGCAAACCGATGTTGAGGATACTCTATTTTGACACATACCCAAATGATCATGAGAAATGTTTGTGTAAGCAACGGTCAAAATAAGTGATTCCTCTAAAAGTCGCAAACAAATGAGTGAGGCTCCTGGATTCCGTGGAACCTTAGAGTAGTCTCCCAATTGCCTTCCCAAGTGAACCAGGATATCGGATACTTTGACCGGCCTCATGCAGTGTTGTCTTAAAAAAAAAGGGGGGGGAGGTCCCTTCGTGCTTTTTTTGTTGGTTTCCCTTTACCACCAGGGTTCCACCCCCCCAAGACAACAACAACGAGCATACCCTTCCCGGTTGGTTTTAGAGAGCAACTGTTCATGACCACATGTCCAGGTGCTCTTGACATGCCGTCCGGCTTCCGCTATCCGTGGGATTTCTTCCGCTGTTGGATTCTGTCCAACCCTGAACCAGGCATCCTCGCATCCTTGAGAAATTCGACTGGTACGGTTGCTTCCCCTACAAATAGAACATAGGGCAGAAGCAGCACCCAGTCATTTGCCATGGTGTTTGAATTATATTGATTTCTTTGGGGTAGGGGAATCAAGTGTATCACAGATCTTGGTTGGTTTTGGGGGGGCTCGTTTTGCTAATTTGAGAAAGGACAAAACCGAGGTTTTTGGACAAAACCCGGGTTTTCCAAAGCAGTACCGAAAATACGGGTTTGGCATGGGTAAAATACGGGTTTGGCACGGGTTAAATATGGGTTTGGCATGGGTTCGGAAGAAGAAAACCAATGTTTTCGTCACAACCCCGGGTTTTATCGAATTTATCCCCCGAAACCCAGGGTTTTGTTTCAGACCCGACAAATTTCCAGGGTTTGGACGCACAGGGTAGACTAGACTTCCTTGTAACCGGAATGAGCATCCAACGAGCGGCGATTTCTGGGTGAATTGACCAACCCCCCCCCCCCCCCTGCAGTTCAGGACAGGCGCTGGCCCTCTGAAACAACGGACAGCGGCACCCACGAAGAGGTGATGGGAGGGGCTGGCCTCCTTTGCTTAGTTTTTCCCCTTGACTGACTGAAAAAGGCAACCCAACAAAAAGAGGTGATGAGAGGGGCTGGTAGTTTGTTGCTTGACTGACTGAAAAGGCAACCCCACAAAAATCAAAGTGTCTTAGTCACTGGCACTAAAAGGAGTCTACCCAGAATTATGCCAGGAATCAGCAAGGTTGGTATATGCGCTGGTTGCGATTGGGACTTCCCGCATAACCTTTAAACAACCAAACACGTATTGCGTCTTTGCCTTCCTGCTCCATCCTGCTCCAAAACAACCTACGATGCATCGAGACAAAAGCGGTCAGTCCGTCTGGCAGCTCTGAGGGGAGCATGGGCTCATCATCTTCCTGCGCAAGTGGAGGAAACGGCTCGTGGCTCTCTGGTGCTCGTGGCTCGTGGCTGTGCGACCAATCCGACTCATTCTCAGGAGGGGACAGATACAGACACGGACACAGACACAGACACGGACACGGACACGGACACGGACACGGACACAGACACAGACACAGACACAGACACAGACACGGACACAGGCACAGGCACAGGCACAGACACGGACACAGACACAGACACAGACACAGACACAAACACGGACACGGACACGGACACGGACACAGACACAGACACAGACACAGACACAGACACAGACACAGACACAGACACGGACACAGACACAGACACAGACACAGACACAGACACAGACACGGACACAGACACAGACACAGACACAGACACGGATACACAGACACCGACACCGGCACAGACACAGAAAGAGACACAAACACAGACACAGACACAGACACACACACACACACACACACATTTTGGGGAAACTCCTTGTGGGAGGGGGCTCCTTTTTGGTTTGTATGTTGAATTCTCGGGGGAGTGTTCGCCAGCCAAACAAAGAGAACACTGAACAACAAACCGCTCCTGTGAAGAGCAAAGCAAAAAGCCTGCTGGATCAGTAGCCACAGTCCTCGTCGTCGTCATCATCGTCTTCGGATTCTTCTGACTCACCATCATCTTCCTCGCAATCAGCGTTGGGGAAACATGGTTTAAGCAAACGGACCCTGGTCCCGTTGAAAGGCAATCCCAAGTAGTTGTTCAAACATTTGTTGCTTAAACTACAGCTCAAGCAAGGGTGTCCAGCCGGCTCCGTGTTTGGTGTCTCAAATCCCATGTTTTGAATAGACATTCTCGGAGTCATAGCCTAGCGCTGCTTTGCATTCCCGCCGGCCGGAAACAAGGCTTCCAGCCCCCGGGCATCAACAAGAGGGCCTCCGAGTCCTCCAATGTGAATTCAAGAGGACAGGATTGAAATCACCAGATGCTCGCTCACTTGTTTGTGGAGAGTCCAAATTGAGGAAATCCAACAGCAGAACAGTTAATGTGATGTATAAATAAAAAGAACACCTGTTCCGACGCAACCTTATTGCCGGGCAAAGCAGGCAGTGGTCAACATTTATGATGGCAGCTACTCGTCAATTAAGATGATAATGATGATGATAATGATGACGATGATGATGATGATGATGGTCCTTGAGAATCTAGCCCACCGATCTGGCTGCTCAATGTTGACCAGCGCTCTCCTTCACCAGCAAAGTGTTGCATCAAAACTTGGATACAGTAAGTCCCAAACTTCCTAAGCATTTGCCCAAAACCCAAAAAATGTTTGTTCATGTTGGTCCAGAGTCCATATTAAATGAAACTTCAAAGGTAGAATTACTGCAAGCAAAACTCCCAGCACCCTCCGAACGAGCCTCCTGCATGGGTCGCTGATGTGGCAAGACCTGTCAGGTGGAGCGAATTCCCCTTGAGACTGCCCAAAATGGAGCGGTGTCCTATGCGCTTGGCTGGATTCTGCCGGAAGACAAGCGCAGCCACCCATCAGATCATGGCGGGATAGATTCGACAAATCAACAGCGGTCTGGCTGAGTGGAGCCTCAACAGCGAGCAACACGAGCTGATGGGCAGTTCCTGTAAACCAGAACTAACAAAATCAGGCGGCACCCAAAGCCTAACCCATATAACATATGCAAATGGTATTTGTTCATGAACTGTTTGAGACTATATATACATCTATACATATATATATATATGCAACAAGGGCTATGTGCCCGTGTTATATAGTATATCTTATCTCATCACCTGGCCGGCATCACCTGGCCGGCCAGGGGATGCCGGCCAGGTGATGGGATAAGATAATCATATTTAATAAGGATATATACCCCAAATATTGAGACAGTTTATTGGAAAACCCTCGCCGTGATACCGCCTAATCCTTCCAGAACAGTCTGTTGGATTTGCACCCCTGCCCGTAAACTGTCTCGATCGGAGCTGTCCTTCACATGGAGTTTCTTTTGCAAGGACCTTTCCTTTACAGTCTTGAAAAGGCCTTTCCTTTACGTGGGGCTTCCTTTGGCAAGGGCCTTTCCTTCACCAAGGGGCATTTAAAGAGCTTTGTTCATGCTGTCACAGATTCTCACAAAACAGTCTGCGGGAGAAAACAGTTTGTGGCAATAGTTCCCATCAACTGGCCGGCCTACTATAAAAACACATCATGGGGCCAATTTGTCTCTGCAGCAGCAAGTGGAAACGAAGGGTTTCACCCCGGTCGCTGCATCCATGCCAGAGGGGTCTCGCAAAGACAAAGCCTTTGGGACCAGTTGGGCATACCCAGAGGAAGCAACAGACTTTAGAGTGTATACCTCTTGTTTTGTCCTTAAAGTGGTGCTAAACAAACCAGCTGACCAGCTGACCCGAACCAGAGCCCGCCGAGCCGGGCTCGCCCGCTTCGAGTCCGACGAGTCCGACCCGGCTCCCCCGCCATGTCGCCGTGACCCGGCACCAGGCCCTGGGTCATGGAGGAAGCGGAGCCGGACCTCGCGGACAGAAAGCCATGAGGTTTTCATCACAAAACTCATACCGCAAAGAACTCAGAGGTTTGTCTCAGTACCTGAAAATTGGGGCTTGCGTTGGTTCGCCCCCAAAAAACATCAACCCCACTTGACCCTTAAACAAGAACCACCCGATTGGGCAGAATCTGCTGTTCCGCCCAAGTCCCAAAAATGACAGACCCCTGTCTAATGTTTGCATGGCTTGGCCAAGTCTGAAGTCCAACTCACGTGAGCCAATCAAAGGGCACCAGCCTCCCTTTTCAAGTCCTTTGGTCGAACAGGGAACTGCCCCTTTTGGAGGTTCAAAGGGAAATGGCGGAAACCTTGTCGAAGCAACCTTGGGTTCGAAGGGCGCAACCTTGTCCGAGCAGAGGCATCACCCAGTTTCGGCATGTTGAGCCCTGAACAAAAAGCGAAGCTTCCCTCCAATTGTTGGCTTGGATCGGTGGTTTGGTGGTTCTTGCATGTCCTCTCTACAAGGGCTTTAAATCTCCCAAACGCCAAGCAACAACCACTACTTCGGGGACACCTGAAACATGCTGAGTCTGGTTGTTGTCAGCCGCAGATGGAAAACAAGACACAAGCACATACACACACACATAGCCTTTGGGTATACACGTTAAACATAGACTGGGATGCCCTAACGGATGGCGCCGTCCTTTCGGTTCCCCAGCAAACCGATCGCTGTCATAAGCACGCCCAGTCCGAAACCAACCGTTGCCCGGTTGAAAACAGGGAAACTTTGGTTTAGCGGTGGATTTTGAAAGGGAACCCCTCCAAACAATGGCCAACAAAACGCACCATGACTTGACTGAAGTGGGGGAACCTCATGGGCGAATCACTCAGCTTTTCCCCAGATGAGCTCGCCATGGAATAGGCAAATGAATTGATTTGCATGGAAACATACTTTGGGGGTCTGCCTTTGTTGGTTTGCTTTGGGGGGAAAATCGCCGATGTCTAATTCGCGCCCAGCTCAACTGTTGAGTCGATCCCCATTCACGTTGCCGCCAGGCGGCAGAGGGGGCGGCTCACGCTTCACCGAGCCATCCGGGTGGCGGTACCTCGCGGCGACGCGGCCAGAGCTCCCCCGGGAAATTTCTGGCTGCGAAAGGCAGGGAATGAGACATGGAATCACCCCGAGAAAAAAAAAACAAAACATCCCCGATTGGGGATTCCTTTAAGGGAATCCCCAGGTGATATAACTCCCTCATTGCCGACTGAGCACCAGCAAGATGAAAAGAACCCTAGGATCCCAAGACCTGAAATATGAAGGGCTTTGACCCCAAATGGCTGGGGTTGTTGGGACCCGGGAAGGAACTCCAGCAAGAGTCTCCCCAACAAGAAGGCTTCTCTTGAACTTGCGTCTTAACCACTGGATGTCTGGGATGATACGAGTAACAATTCAGCGCCAATCGGGGTCAAGGCACATCAGTACCTGCCCTTGCGGTGGTGCGCCGTATGGATTTTTGACCTCGGAGCAGTGAGCAGGATGTGCATCGTCCATTTCCAAGTTGTCCAGTGACCCTGATGGAAACGGTGACCATTTTTGGGTTCCTAAAATTGAAACAGTGCCAATTTTGCACATCCCGAGGCTGGCACCGGATCGTAGTAGATCGACCTTGGAGGCGGGCGAACCGTTCTCTCTGGGTCTAACTTACATGGCTTCCGAAGTTGCAAACTCAAAAACATGAGAACGTCCGGGGTCCGCCCCCGTGTGGTACCTGAGCGCATCCCCCGATTCGCAAGCTGAGGCTGGAGGCGACTTTCGGTGGATCTTCAGCTCGTCGAAATCCACGAAGAACTGATCCCCTGAGAAACGCTCTCGACTGTCAGCTCTAGGCACACATTGCCTTGCCCAAAGGCTGGTAACATCCAAGAACCCTGGCTACAAGCCGCTTGGGGAACTTGGGAAGAGAGGTACATGACACATATAACCAGCATCACAGCAGACTGACTAACGTTGACCCCGGATTAATAAACTCCTGTTTATTAATATGGGGGTGGTCCCCTCCAAGAATTATGAATCCTCACCAAAACCAGGAACACCCCCCAAATTAATAAACAGGAGTCTATTAATCGAGGTCAACATGAAGCATGCCTCCTCAAGCAGGCGTTTACGCTAGATTGCCATGACGCGCTGATCAAGTGCCCATGGGTCACCAGGCCGTGCTGATCCTCCACTCGCTTCTGGTTGTTTTCCTCCACCTGGCGAGGGAATTGGGTGGGTTTGGCTCAACGGGTGTCCTTTGGTTTCCCTGGAATGTCGGCTAAAGAAGCTGCCGTGGAACCTTTATGGTCCAAATTTCCTGACTGGTGATCATCCCTACCAACCCCAATAAGCCATCGTTTTAGAAGAATCTCCTTTGGGGACCTTTTTAGGCTTTTATGTCAACTTGCAGCTTGCTGTGAAGTGCTGTAAAAGGGTGGGTTGACCAAGGCACATATTGTGGGTGTGTCTTAAGATAGAACTTGGACAACCCAAGCACACACACACACACTGAAACAATGCCGTGTTCCATTTGGTTTCCCTTGGCTTCCTCTTGGACAGGGAGCCAGTGCACTTCCAGCTGCCCTCAAAAGCCGCGAAGGGTTCGCCATGCCACGTATGCCCCATGGATGTCCCCGATTTTGAGACAGACATGCCCCCAAAGGGAAACATCCGCAAGCCTGGTCCTTCAGTCGCCCGTAGAAGGCGATCTCTCGGGTCATCTTGTCTTTCTTCCTCAGAACACGAGAGGCGGGAACAAAGAAGGGATGAAGGGATCCAGGGGATGTTTCTTAGCGGTCTGGTGATCCTTGGCCAAAAGGCAAAGTTTAGCGGGCTTATATCATAAACCCCTCCAAGCTCTGAATATCTCAGTCTCGGGGTAAGTCTGGGAACTGCACATATTGACATGCCAAAGAGGGATTGCTTGTGACCATCACAAGTGAAAACCATCCTAAATTCCACAAGGCCCGCAAGCTACGACTCTGCCCGGCTCGGCCGTTCTTAATTGGTCTGCCTGCCTTGACTGGTTCAACGGGCATGGAAGCAACCAGTTCGAGTGTTTCCTATGTGTACAGACCATGGGCAAGATCGCTCGCAAACAAAACCCTTTGCGAGGCGCTTTAATTTGCCCAGTTCGCTTTTGTCGTAGCTGATCTACCAGTCTGACACATCGGCAGCTGGGGGCCCCGGGCCACTTTGTGAGCTTCCCTTTCTTGTCCATCTCCTCGCATGGCCGCCAACGCGAGGGATTGCCGCAAAAGAAGCGGCTGCCCGCCTGCTTGCCTGACAAACAAACAAGTTATTCAGCCAGGATTGAATCAACACCTGGTATTTAAGGGGTCGACCAAAACCCATGCAAAGAACAAACAAGGGCGGCCCTACTTGTTTGAGACTGTCGAACTCAAGCACAGCAACCCCTGCATGGAATTTGCGGTTTTGACTGTCAGGCATCGATCATACGATCCCAACAGCCCCTCTCCCCCTGCCCGTTTCCCACCCGCTTCCAGAGAATCAGATTTCTGACAAGGCCTTCTTCAGGCCTATTTAGGGAGCCAGAAAATCTGGGAGGGTTGCAACAGAAATCCAACAACCGCCTTTTGGGCTCCCTTACGATTCCCTTCAACAGGGACCCTTACATTATACACCTGCACATTGCCTTTGTCAATGGTGGCTTCCCTGTACTTTGGTGGAAAAAGCAACATGTTCCAACCGGTTACGTCGTGTATATTTTAAGGAGCCCTGTTCAAGGGCTCCAAGGCACACCTGCCGGCTCTGGAGCCACACAGCGAGCCGCGCGGAGCCCTGGAGCTGGCCTGGAACTCGCTGATCTCCGCCTCGATGGCCTCGGGCTCCTTCTGCAGCATCTTGGACTCATAGTTCCTATCCCAAAGCCGACGCGGCGAGAGGGACAGATGAATAGAGGCATTATCTTATTACTTTTATTAGTAGTTTATTATTGTGTTTATATATATATATAATTATCTTCATATCCCAAGGCGACCCATCAGTTGAAAGGCCTTATCTGGAGCTTGCGTTGCCGGAAAAACAAGGGGAGGATGGGTGTGGGAAATATGACTTGGAAAAAATATGGTGATAATTGCGAAACCTGAAACAACAAGTGGAGGCCCAGTAAACAACCCCAGCATGGTGAGCTCGCTTTACATGAGCTCGCCACAGCATAGGCAGACCCCGCCCGGAACCGGTTTCCCTAGTAAAAACAGCAGAGTCCTGAGCCATGGAACCCTCTTCCCACCTGAGCGCCATGGAGCCCCTTTGGTAAACAACCCACACAAAAAGGCCCTAAGTGGTTGTCCTTCGTTTTCTGTCAATCAAGTTTGTGCCAGGGGCCCGGACCTAAGGGCAGAAAATGAGTTCCTGACACAAACGGGGAGTTTCTGCCACAAGGGTGACTTTTGAGCACGCTTTTGCTATTGGATGAGACCCGGACAAAAATTACTCATGGGTATGCGTCAAAAACGGGGGACCCCCAAGATGTTACGTTCACTGTTGGTGTCCCTTTAAACCAACCTGAAAAGGGTGCCTCTCGCAATCCGAGTTAATCCGACTACTCTGACTTTGACGATTCCTAGAAACAGACCCCAAATCATGGGCTGCAATCCAGGTCCAGGGATACCGCAAACGGGCACGCCGATCCAGCCTCTTGCGGTTCTTCGCACGATTCTCGCGCAAGCGCTGCTTGTGCTGGCGGGGTGCGAGCTGACACAAAGGGAGTGCCTCAAACTTTTCTCCTGCAGAGAAAACACCCAAAGCGGGGGAAGCAGCTGGTTGCCCTTCTCACTTCCTGCGTGGATCCGTTAGGACAAGTGCTGGCGTTCTGTTTTCCATGCCAAACATTTAGTATAAGCTCGCAACCGGATCTTGATGTCGACCCCGGATGAATCAACCTGGATTCATGGGGGAAGTTCCCTCAAAAATGCGATGGACTCCCTTTTCATTGGAACACTCCCCTTATCCATCCATCAACCGGAGGCTGATTAATCCTGGATTTCCATAAATGTCCCCATGTTTGGGTCACCAATTTGGGTGCCACACTTCAAAAGGGAACACTTGCCACTTCAGAGGGCAGAAATCCGCCATGTGTCCAACCATGTAGTCTTTGGATTTGAGGACAACCGTTCGAGATGGATCTGGGTGGGACCCTTTGAGGAAAAGCCCTCTGAATGTGTGGTCATCTGGATGAATTCCACGGGTGTTTTGATTAACCCCGTTCTGTTCAATTTGCAGATAACATCTGCCTAGTTATGTTTGGGTCTTTTCTTGCGTAATTTAGCCAGGATGTAATCTTCTCATGCACGCCACTGCCAACGCAATGTATCGTGCCGCGTAAGGTGCCCAAGATTCGTACATCAATGTATCCTCTTCTTTGCCACGGATCAGCTATATATATATGCATGGCAAAACCCATGCATGCCTCAAGAAAGAACAAAACATGAAACAACGGGCGAGGGGCAGGAACAACAATCCAGGCCCAATTGCTGCGAGAGGCATGGTGATATCAATTCCTGGTGGTTTACAGGGCGCTTGGCATTCTGAAAAGGTCGCTGTACGCATTGGACCAATCGATACCCATCTCCCAATGCCGCACAAATCCAAAGTCGGTACATTGGAGACCTGAAATTCGGACGTGCGAACACTGTAAGGTACTGTAAAAATGGTGTGGCTCGAGTCAAAGTGAACAAACTACAGCTGTTGTCATCGCCCAGTCTGTGTCTCGCAAGTGCCCTTGATTGATGCTGCCATCAAGCAAACTCAATCCCAGGCAGTCTCAGTTGATTGGCTATTGTCAAGACTTGGACGAGCTACAACTACTGATAGTTCATGACTATAGTTGGAAAAACCTCCAAAATGGTACCCAACAGGATACACACGCACACATTGCCGGTTCCAGGCCTTCTTGCGTTCAGCTTCTGCAGGATGCAGAATCTTCTTGCCGCCTTTCAGCACCATCCCAGGTCTTAATAATTACAATCTTACAACTGGGTGCATAAAATAATGTCCCCAAACTGATCATCGAAATGGTGCTCCAAAGGGACACCAGTACTTCGATATCCCCTGGAATGCTCACTGTAGCGGAACCAGTATATACATTGCTCACAGGCTCGCCAGGCAATGCACCAAAAAACGGCGTGTTTATGCAGCCGACACGTCCATGGCTGCGATCTGCCGGACCGTTTTAGCCTGGGGCCACGGCTCGCATCATGCAGCGTGTTCTTCTTCTGCCTGATTGGGCTGAGCCAGTACCCATCGGATTGCAGCCATTTTTCTGGGGAAAAACACCCTGTGCATACAGAGACAGATTGGGGCCCCGTTTTCACCAAAATGATTCAATCCCAACCCTTCGATCAGAACCTTTTCTGATTAAGGCTCTAAGAAGCCTTGCTTTGGGGGGGTGGCGGGGGCCCTCGTGGAAATATTGGCTACTCTCTTCCCAACAACGGAAGTGGACAGTTTCCCAGGAAAGACTTCCAAAACCCCTGGCAGTCGTGCCCCAGAAGGAAAAAACGTCTTCCAAAACCGCTCAACCTTCAGCTTCCAGGACTAGCGGAGGGTCATTTGTTGCGTTGGCTGGTAGTCCTTTTTGCCTCTGCCTGTTGAGTTGCCCACACGAAACCGCGGACTCAGGAACGAGTCGCTGGACAGTGAGGCTGATCGCCAAATGGGCGATACATGCTCGCAAGTCAACGTAGAAGGATCCCGTCTCGTCTTTTAAACCCTTCGAATGGGGAAGCCTCCAAGAATGCCACTGAAGAACTCGGTGTCCGTTGACACATGCCCACACGGGAGACCCCAGATGTTTCCTATGCTTTCCGAAATAAGGATTTGTCTCAACATAAGGGGAACCCTATCCAAACAAAGTACGTGAGTTGTGGACACCTGAACAAATGGTTGACAACCTTTTGCCATTAAACGCCATCCAACACAGGGGGGTTCTGTTTCACCACACACCCACAAATTGCAGGAACCCTACATTACTGCGCGCACTCAACAATAAACCACTACCTATCATCACTGCTTCCCCTCTCATGAAAAAAGGGGTCCATGTTCCATTCTCAGAAACGCCAAACGCCCCCAAACACATTCAAGCTTCCCTAGGTTCCCGATTGTTTTTGGCCCCTCAAAATAGGTTGACGGCCCCTGAAGGATCCTGGATATTCATTGGAGGGCCCGGGCTGCATTGGAAGGGTCATGAGCCTATTGCAACTGCTCAATTGCTGCCAAGGTCACTTGCCCATGACTGCGCTTTTGGCTCCTCAATCGACTCGGATCCGCGCAAGGCGAGGACAATCCACTTCCTTGCCCAGTTTAGCTGGAAACCATGCTGTAAAATCTAGAGGGAAGAAACCCAGGTACCTACCATAAAGGAAACTAAAGGGACACCTTGGTGGATATCATTTTCGTGATTGGATGTGTTCACGCATGTTTGAGTGCCTTGTTGTACTCCATAGCCGCCAACTAACCGACCGGGAAAGAACATGTGACCACTGATTGGGTTGCCGCGTCAACACCAGGCGCATCGGGGGATAACGCTCAAGGAAAAATCCATTGACAGGGGTCGAAACATTTTCCACTGGGAGTGATATTCAATGCGCGGAACGAACCATGCGACCTTTATTATCATGCTTGTTCTTCTTATCATCATTACTATTAATATTATTATGATGATGATTATTATTGTTTGTTTCGAAAGGTGGATTCCACTGATAAATGGCTCGAACAAGACTGACACCAGTGCCATATAGTGCCAGAAGAAATCTCCCAACATGACACCTACTGTGTATGGACAAAATCCTACACCAGTTGGGAAGTGCTGTCAACTACTTGTAGGGTTCACTCATCCAACTGCTGCAGGAGGTCGTCCATCCATGATAGCCACCTCCCCTCCTCCCAGCATTGCGCCATGGAGCCTATGTTAGCCTATGTTCGATCAACCATGTTCCATTGGCAACTCCTCAAGATGCTTTACAACTCATTGGGGGGACATATGAGTGTGTCTTGGAATCAGACACCCGAGATGGTGGCCTTCCCTCAGGTTCTCTAACACAAAGGGAAATACTGTTGGCACCTTCTCAGGGAGAATATTTAAAGCCCTCCAAAGACTGAGAAGAAGCCTTCCAGAAGTAGCGTCAGGTCTGAAATGGGAAAGCCTCCCCTTCGTTTTTTTCTTCTAAAAGGTGTAGTGGAAACTACCAAAACCACCCAAACAGCGAGATACCTAGCGGATGGCTGGGAACCACCAACTCAATAACCTGGTTGGTAACACTGGATATTCGAATGACACCAAGTTGAGAGAGAAGTTCAGGGTCAAAGACCCATGGAAAAGCCGACAGTGCAGAAGTAAATCCACCCTGGATCCTTTGCGAATGCGCTCCTGTGCGCTAGCGCGTGTTGCATGGGGCCAGCATCAATCTAGTCTTGAACAATTTGTCGCATCCTGGTCTGGAATTTGGAAGCCTTGCTCTGTGCATGTCTCGTGAATCTGTTGCTCGACTCGTAATATCTTCGATCACAGGTTGATTGAAGCAGATGTTTGCCATGTTGGTTGAGCCTGCGAATGGCTTCTTGACGGCTGACCTTCTTCCATGCTTCGAATCCCGCGGCTCGTGGGTCAGGCTTTTCCTGCTTTTCGTGCCTGGGGCCGTGAAGCTTGGCGAGGCAGCATGCTTGAGGCAACGAATCAGAGCAAGCATGGACCCATCGGACCTTTTTTGATACACTCGCAGATTCGCATGGAACTAGCCACCTAAGTGCCTGCCCCCCCCCCCCCCCCCGCGTCTCTCAGCCACCGACTGTGTGTTATCAAAACGCTCGGATTGCGGCAACCACAGAAACCCAAATATTTACTTTCATTGGGGGAGATTGGCAAAAGGGATGAAATTGGACACTGATGAAGGAACGCCGAAAGCCCTGAAGCATTGGTCATCTACTGACCTGCTGGGTTGTCGAGCTGAAACTTGTTGGCTCCATACTAAAATCAACCAAAGACCTTTCAGCAAAATATTGAAAGATAGCTGAAAGAACATCAATCAAGTGAACAGGCAAGTTTAGGAACAGCCAAGCAAGCAACTCATTGGCCAACTTCACGACTCGTCTCAGTGCGCTTCACGGCCAGGACTTCAGGGTCCCTAGAGGTCCCCATCACTGCAAGGAACACCAGCTCA